CTGATCTCTTTGCTAGCCAGGTGCAGCTACAATAAAACAGAGACACTTCAACAGTGAAACAGTGTTTAATATAGTTAAATTACTTAAATAAATTTCAATTTCCATGGGAAATCATAACTGTACCCATTTTTGCAAGAACCGGAGTAAAGAGTGTGTGAATACCCCTTGAAATGATCATGACACACTGTCAACAATCACAGCTAGAGATACCGGGGACTTGAAATTTCATTGACAACCAACTTTGTCAGATGAATCAAAAGTTAAGACAACTACAGACTTCCGTCAAGCAGAAAGCCAACCTAAAAACCGAATGTATGGAATGAAGGGAATGAGACTCAGTGACAGACGGGGTAAAAGGCATGGAAGGTGGAGGCGGGGGAGAAAGGCATAACAGCATGAGGCAACTTAAGTATTTTGCAAACCAGGAGAGATGTAAAGGAGCAAAAGTATAGTACAAGGGCAGACTTGGCAGTTTTACAGAAGTCAATATACTATACTTTTCAGAGATGTTTCCTAGTGGAAGGGGGAAGGAAAGGGGCGATGCCATTTAAGCTCACGTTTAAATGGCTTAATGCTCGGGTCATGCTTAGCAATATGGCAAATTAATTAAGACAGGCCCATGGAGTATTACTTATCCTCGTCGAGTAGGAAAAAATATATCACCACCACCATAGTGCAATCATGAAGCTGTTAGTACTACAGTAATTCTGCCCTGAGAAGAGTGGAAAAGGACTGTATTAAATGTCAAAAGATTGGAGTCATTTTTAGTGCTAGCCAAATTCAATATCAAAATTCTCCCCTCATAGAATATAAAAAATATAGCTTTTTTAAAATTCTGTTCTCTTTTTTTAATAAAATATCAAGGGATTTTTCTTTAGTAGTTAAAAAAGGTACATAAATGATAACAGTGAACTATTCATAAACCCCCCACTAGCGATACAGACGTCTAACACAATGTCAATGGCACTGTATTTGTAGGTTGACCACCTCGTGCACACATTTGCCATCATAGCCTTTTTTGAAGATCATCTAATTCCTGAAAATTGAACATCTGTGACTCAGTTAAAGTAAGTGCCAACTACAGGAAAGTCAACTCGATGCTGCAGTCTGTAGTTCCTTGTAATGTCAAATGGCAGTTACAGTATCAGACAGCTCTGGTATCAGCAGGATTCTATTAAGACCATCTACGAAAAAGAAGTTTTGTCAAGAAAAGTTCAAATGAGCCTAGTTTTTTTCTCTTCTCAGAAGAGCTCTTCTTACAGTTAGTTAGAAGATTTGCTTAGAGCTCTTTTGAACAGGTTTGACTGATACCGTCTCAGTAGCTAAAACTCAAAGGTCCTGTTTCCATTTGTTAAAGACGTCACCCTCCGCTTGGATGCTGCACGGAACAACTGTGTGACTACCTTGTTTTGTTTTTTCCTCTTCCTTGGGGTTGTAGACTTTTCTGGATTTTCATTTTTAAATGCATCTGATTCAGCCTGGAAACTCACCTGTTTGTTGTTGGTTGATTGTATAATGATAATCTGAAAACTGCCAAGTCTGTGTTCAGAGTATTCTGCACAAAAAAATTTACACACAAAGTCTAAAAGTTATATACACCTGCCGCCACACCTTGGTGTGGACAGCCTGCCTTCTAATTTATAGATAATTTACAAAATATAGAATTTGGTATATCTGTTAGATCTCCATGTTTTCAATATTACAAAATAAAAAATTAAAAAAAAACCAAAACCAACAAATTTCAGGGGAGCTCCCCCCACAAAGTGTCTCTAGTTTACATCTAGTCTTTCCCATGTAAACTGATATATACCAAAGAAGAGCACAGAAGACTTTTCAATAAATATGGTTGTAGAGCTGTCTGTCTTTATCGCGAGCTTCCCCTTCATCAGATGTGCCAGCCCCACTCAGAAGAGCAGTCATTTAGCCACGGAGAAGAAGGGAAAAGAGGGGGCCAGGGCTAGAACGTCTTTTCACATGAAAGCATTACTGATGCCCTTCTAAAAGGCCTTTTTGTGTGCTGCAATGGTGGGTGTCAATTTTGAAAGCCCATTCAAAACAGCGAATAAAAGCACAGTGGTACACCTCAAATAGCTGGCAGTATGGGATAGAAATGTTATGGGAGTGCAAATCCATTCCAAAATAATGCTTTCTAGTGAATCATACATTCCTTCAACCAAGTAAGTGTTGTGTAAATTAATACTTCAATAGCTTCTTATCCTGTTGCAGCAGCCTTTTTAAAAATTCCAAATTCATGTCTCAGCTGTGAGCTCTGTAGTACATATCTTTGGTCGACTTAGCACTTGGCCAGGAACAACTCCAAGGTGGTTTCTCTCGTTTGCCTTTCATGAGGGATGGTCAAAGAGTTTGCTGATGCCAGCTCTGGAGTGTGACATTTCAGCTGTGCCGCACTTTCAGCTTCTCTGCCAAAAACTGATTCTTCTCAGATTCACAACCATCTCGTGTGATCTCTGAGTGATGCTGCAATCGGTGTTAAATAGTCGGAGGCCCTCCATTTAGAAAGTAGGTGGTCATTTCTCCTTTGCCTTTGACCTTAATGACCCCTCGCTTTTCCAACTGATAGTTGTAGGCTGCTAAAACGTTGTACATGTCTGTGGTCACCTGCAGAAGAAACAAGAGTAAGCATATGCTTGCCATGCTTTCCACACAGGCTTTTCATTCACTTCTGGGGTAATCCATGGACAAAATTAAAGTAGGATCAATTATTTTATTTCTAAGTAAGTCGACTTTTGAGTATCAGTAACTAACTAGAAGTTTGGCACAAGCTGCAGAACACACACACAGCCTTTAGAAACTGAGAAACTACAGTGGTCGCACACAGTACACAACTCGGGGAGAACCACATTTTTCCAGGAGGTCACAGGATAAAAATAAAGAAATGAGTCACATTTTTAAAGCCGCACCTGGCAGTTCAAGACACACAGATGCATTCATTGTATCACTGAAGTGGTAGGAAAACAGGTAAAAATATTTTTAAAGTCCTTGAAAATGACTAAAGAATTACACAGTGGACATGTAATTTAGAAGGAGTCCTTTAGGTGTTTATTTTTATGGAGGAGAAGGTAGCAGGCAATGTGAAAGACTGAACAAATGGAATTACCTAGCCAGCATCCAAATTCTCTTGGCAGATGCCATACAAAAATCATCACTTGTGCTGTAGAATAACAGGAGCCTGAACAGAAGAGTTCCTGAGATATTTATTTACTACAATGTATTTCCTCACCCTTTTTCAGGTGGCTTTAAATACTGCTACTTCTGGCTTCCTGTTGCTATATAATTTCTCTGCTGATTTGCCTTACTAGAATAAAAATTGTTTGCAGATTGTCTTGTAGGAAAGTTTAAAGGGTGTTGGATAAATATTGATGCAGTTAACCGACAGCTTAATTGGAAAGAAACAGCATGGCTTCCCCTCCTGGACTTTACATCAGTTCCTCTAAACAGTTTTACATCGCTTTAGTACTTTCCCAAGGAATGACAATCTGTTACTCTGGACATGGGCTCAGTGAAAGCAGGAGAGTGGAACTGAACCACTGGAAAGATCACCATCTGAAGGGTGAGAAGATGTTTGATTACAAGACGGTTCCCATTAACCCCTTAAGCCTTCTTCTTTCTCTAATTATATATTCCCATCCTGCTGATGCTTGGATCCTTGTTAGCATCACAACACACACAGCATTGTGAAGAGAGAAGTGAATTACAGAAATATGTATCTGAATTGAGTCCTTGGGAAATAAAACAACCTACAGTTGCATGTAGCTGAAAAGCAAAGCTGGCAGCATGAGTAAGTGAGCATGAGGGATCAGTACTGGGCTCAGTTCTATTCAACATCTTTATTGATGACCTGGATGAGGGGGTTGAGTCTACCCTTTGTAAATTTGCAGATGACACCAAACTGGGGGGGGAGTGTCGGTCTGCTGGAGAGTAGGAAGAAGCTGCAGAGGTACCTGGACAGGCTGGGTCAATGGGCAGAGGCCAACAGTATGAAGTGTAACAAGACCAAGTGCAGGGTCCTACACTTCGGCCACAATAACCCCATGCAGCACTACAGACTGGGGGAAGAGTGACTGGAGAACAGCCCAGCAGAGGGACCTGGCAGTACTGGTTGACAATCGATTGAACATGAGCCAGCAGTGTGCCCAGGTGGCGCCGAAGGCCAATGGCATCCTGGCCTGTATCAGGAATAGTGTGGCCAGCAGCAGCAGGGATGTAATTCTGCCCTTGTACTCAGCACTGGTGAGGCCTCACCTCGAGTGCTGTGTACAGTTCTCGGCCCCTCACTTCAAGAAGGATATTGAGGTGCTAGAGTGGGTCCAGAGGAGAGCAACGAGGCTGGTGAAGGGACTAGAGAGAAAGTCTTATAATGAGAGGCTAAGGGAGCTGGAGTTGTTCAGCCTGGAGAAGAGGAGACTCAGGGGGGACCTTATCACTCTCTTCAAGTACCTGAAGGGAGGTTGTAGTCAGGTGGGGGTCGGGCTCTTTTCCCAGGCAACTGGTGACAAGATGAGAGGGCATGGCCTGAAGCTGCACCAGGGGAGGTTTAGGCTGGATATTAGAAAGCACTTTCTGATGGAGAGGGTGATCAGGCATTGGAATGGACTGCCCAGGGAGGTGCTAAAGGCAAGGCTGGATGTGGCACTTAGTGCCATGGTCTAGCTGATGTGGTAGTGTTAGGTCATAGGCTGGACTTGATCTCAGAGGTCTTTTCCAGCCCCAATAATTCTGTGATTCTGTGATCACAGCAGGACTGTCCTGCCAGTGCAAATGAGGCACTCAGGGATGGAAACTCAGCTCAGCACTTCCACCCAGAACTAAACTGCCTATTTTTGAGCCAAGTTTGCAGAGCTGGTCAAGATTAAAACATCAACATCAAAACCTGATGTTACCACTAGCATTCCCCAGCTGGCTTTTCTTTCAGTACTGTGTAACTAAACATGTGGCATGAAGAAATAAAATTAAACCAAAATTCCAATTCCAATTAAGTTTCAAAACCTGTAAGCAGCACAGGGCTGGCAATCTAAATTTTCTGGTGAATTCCTTACCTGAATCCTGTCTGGCACACCTGTACTGTCCATTCGGCTGGCTACATTCACCGTGTTGCCCCATATGTCATACTGGGGTTTGCGTGCTCCTATGACCCCAGCTACGACAGGACCAATATTGAGGCCTGGAAGGAGAGGAGAAATCCCACAATGCTCAGATCCATCACATGTGAACCACATAAAGCTTGAGGAAAGTTATTTTTCAGACAGCAAAAAACATCCTGAGGGTCATTGGTCCTAGCTGTGCTTTACCCTGACATGTAACGCTACGGCCAAACTGTGGGGAAAGAAACTTTCAAAGAAAAGTTGGCTCCTCTGATCCATTATGACTATCTGACTGGCAGCACAGGCTGGATCTGCTCAATCCAGAGGTAATTTCCAGTACCAGCTAACAGGATAAGGCTATCTGGCTGCCAAGCAAACTGTTCACTTGGAAGTCAGCACACAGATGCTTCAATGTTGGGCAGCCGCAAAGCAGCAGTCTGGTGGCCTTCCACTTGACATTCTTGCATTTTTTCTCCTTTTCTTTTTCTACTTCTTTTTATTCCCTGACTCAACAGACAATTTAATGTACACAAATGGCAGAGTCTGGGATCCTGGGAGGTGTGAGCAGGGCAAAATGAACCCAAGCTCAACCACCATGTGAGACTGTGCTGTGGTAAGAGCTTCCCCGTGCCTAGGTTGGTTGCCCAACTGCTCCTAATTCTCCAGGGAGGTTCGGTAATAATGCTGCTGCCTGAACAAAACTGCCCTGATGTTTCAGAGAGGCCAAAGAAGTTATTTTTGCTGTCACCAGGCAGAAGACAATTAACATCACTGCATAGCCAAGGTAACACCCATTGTTTTTACTCTCCATAAAATCCCCAGCTTGGAGTCAGCACTACTGATAATTAATCCTGTAAACACAGTGACATTACCTATCTTCATTTGGAAGTTGTTGAATGAATGCTCATTAATGTATTTCATTTGGTCCATTAACCTCATGGCAAAATCAGCCAGAGCTTTGATATGTGTCTTCCCTTCCTTGTCGTAAGTGGAATCATTGAGGCCTGACGCAGCCATGTATGTACTGCCAATGGTCTTGATCTTCTCCAACTGCCGAAATTGGTCTTCGCTTATTATCTGTTTCACAAAAGAAAAGTAAAGGAAGTGAATAAACCTTGACAAACACATACATGCTGGTAACATCCTTGTCATGTGTTCTCCCTTAGTGCAAGCACTTGGAAGTACTAAACAGAGCCTTCACTACTCAAAGTATAGAAGAAAGGGGATTAGCTATTTGGAGGAGTGAAAAGGGAATAAAAGGTATTTTTAATGTGAAAAAAGAGAAAGACTTCTAGAGCACAGAGAAATGGGACAAGGATTCAATGAGCCACCTTCCTGCAGGATCTCAGCAAAGCCCAAATAACCTCACTGATTCAGTTCACTCTGTCCACCCAGATTTTATGTGACTTACTTCATCAAAATCAGCAATGATCTCATTGAGCAGTCTCAGGCACTCCACCCCTTCATTGTTGGCCTCCAGCTCCACATAAAACTCTGAGAAGTTGCTTATGGAGGCGAACATGACAGCCACGCACTCGCAGGACTGGTAATACAGTTCGTCATTTCGCCGCTCCTGAGCCAAGAAATGGGCTGCCACGTCCTTTGGCAAAATGTTGTGGAGGAGGCGTCTGTTATAGGCCTGCAGATCCTCCATTCCTTCTTTCTCTTCAGTGGCCTAGTTTAGGAGGGGAGACAGTGATGTGCTTACTCTTTTGGTAACTGCTCAGGGGGAGGGAGGGAGCTGAAAATGCACTTGCAGGCAGGACCGAAATGGAAGAAAGGGGGAAACTGCAAAGGAGGGCAGAACCAGAGAGATGCAGAAACTTGTGTTGTGCAGTGGAAGATGGTCTGTCTCTTTGTGTGCAAATATGTATGTAAAAGCAGGCACAGAATAACACCAAAATCCAATGTTGTTATATTTCTGGGTCCTGAATTGGGTAACCTGTGCAAGGTCTGTTCCTTCTGGGGCACTTCACCACCATCCTTCCAAGCATTGCCATGTAAAGTACCAACGAATGTACTCCTTCTATGACCAGGTGACGTGCTCAGTGGATGAGGGAAAGGCTGTGGATGTTGTCTACTTGGACTTTAAGAAAGCCTTTGACACTGGATGGCTGAGCACAGAGAGTTGTGGTGAACAGAATTAAATCCAGTTGGTGACCAGTCACAAGGGGTGTTCCCCAGGGCTCTGTTTTGGGGCCAGTCCTGTTTAACATCTTTATCAATGATCTGGGTGAGGGGATTGAGTGCTCCCTCAGTGAGTCTGCAGATGATAACAAATTGGGTGGGAGTACTGATCTTCTTGAGGGTAGGAAGGCTCTGCAGAGGGACCTGGACAGGCCGGATCAATGGGCCAAGGTCAATTGTGCGAGGTTTTAAAAGGCCAAGTACTGAGTCCTGCACTTGGGTCACAACAACCCCATGCAGCGCTACAGGCTTGGGGAAGGATGTCTGGAAAGCTGCCAGGCAGAAAAGGACCTGGGGGTGCTGCGACTGACAGTGACTGAACATGAGCCAGCAGTGTGCCCAGGTGGCCAAGAAGGCCAACAGCATCCTGGCCTGCATCAGAAATAGTGTGGTCAGCAGGAGTAGGGAAGTGATCGTGCCCCTGAACGCGGCACTGGTGAGGCTGCACCTTGAGTGCTGTGTTCAGTTTTGGGTCCTGCACTACAAGAATGGCACTGAAGCACTGGAGTGTGTGCCCAGAGAAGGGCAAGGAAGCTGATGAAGGGTCTGGAGAACAAATCTTACGAGGAGCAGCTGAGGGAGTTGGGATTGCTTAGTTTGGAGGAGACTGAGGGGAGACCTTATCGCTCTCTACAACTACCTGAAAGGAGGTTGTCGTGCAGTGGGTGTTGGTCTCTTCTCCCAAGTAACTAGCAATAGAATGAAAGGAAATGGCCTCAAGTTGAGCCAGGAGAGGGTTCAATTGGATATTAGGAAAAATTTATTTACTGAAAGAGTGGTCAAGCATTGGAACAGGCTGCCCAGGGAAGTGGTGGAGTCGCCATCCCTGGAGGTGTTCAAAAAATGTGTAGATGTGGCACTTTGAGACATGGTTTAGTGGGCACGGTGGTGTTGGGTTGACAGTTGGACTTGATGATCTTAGAGGTCTTTTCCAACCTTAGTGATTCTATGAAAGAAGAGCAGAGCAGTGTGCCCAGTTATATGCCAGATCCAGATTAAATTTAAAGGCACTTTATAACACTCCTCAACTTGACAGCGAATAGCCCAGTATTCCTCCAATGCAGGAAACAGCCACTAACCTGGAGTTTCCAGAGGAAATCAAGCCTTGCAGTGGATTCCATTTGCTGGGCATGCAAGTACAGTGCCAGGACAAAGACAGTAATGATGACAGGGGTCACAACCTTCAGCGCGACTCGCGTCATTACTGGAGAGCTGCAGCCAATGAAAGAGCAGAATTTCCCAGTTAGGTCCAGCATGGAGGAACACAGCTTAGCCACGCTCCCCAGTTCTCCCTTTGAGGCTAACTAACCTCTGAAGAAAAGGCTTTTTTCCTTCCTCCCACAGAGCACACCTTGGTAAAGGGATGAACAATAACTGCAAAAAGCCAAGGACTTTGGCTCATACGTGCTGGTTTCTACAGCAGCATTCTGACACTGAAAATTTAATCCAACCTCTTAAAAAGGGTTAACATCAATATAAAAGCCATTTTTTAGAGAATGGCCATACATGCCCAGCCACCACTATACTTGGCAAAACCAAAATGCCGACAGTTCTTCAGATTGTATTCACTGTGTCTCCTGTTCTACACTTAATATTTCTCTAACTAGTCACTTCTTAATGGCCTTTATTTTGCAAGTATTCAATAAGCTCAAAAGAGCACTGAGACACATTCCCAATCCTTCTGACAAGCAAGCAAATAAAAACTTAAAGCTGAATTACAGACTTATACAGAAAACCCCCTAAAAATCTTTCATGCCACAGTGACTCACCATATCAATGTTGCATTTGCAGACATGCTGAAAAAAAAACACAAACAGAAGGTTAGTAGAGTGGCTCCCTCCAGCACTCCAGCACTCGTCCTTCTGTACATTATTCAACAGCACCTCTGCAATGTGGCATCTCTAACACTGTGTGGGGCTATAGCCCTTTTAAAGCAGAAAACTACAAAAACATTGGGGGGGTGGGGGGGGGAAGAAAAGGTCTACACAGCTACACTCAAAGATCCAGGGTGATGGTGCAACATGGTTAATGTGGTTAAACTATCTAAGAAGCATTAGGAGTCAGAGAATCATTAGGGATTTTAATGTCAGTGTGGGATGCTTAGCAACGGCTTGTGCATCCGTCACTACTTCATTAGGTCAGGCTGGAAAAATCTGGGCTAATATCTTGTAAGGGATAGCTCCTCTCCTCATTTACTGTAATGTGGAGATGCGCTTAATTCCTTTAACTCCAGCACTTCTCCCATCTTCTGCAAGTTGCTCACCTCCAGTGCTGTGCCTAGCTATGTGTACCACACATGAGTACACTGAAGAAAACTCTTCTGTAGATTGCTATTACTGTTCACAACACTGCAAAGTACTTGTGTGGAGCAGAGCTGCTGGAGAAGATGGAGGGGGTGCTTGCCTTAAAGTGAAAGGATGGGAAGGAGCTTTCTGGTAGGCAGTAGTTGGCTGAGTTCCTGACTGATGGATTGCTTAATGCTGCTGGGTTTCTTCTGGAGTGTGGGTGGAGTATTAGGGGGCTACGAACCGTGACATGGATCTTTTAAAACGCTATTTAAATTGAAAGAATGAGATCAGTGGTGAAATTACTGTAGTGTCATTGATGCAATTCCAGCCTTGCAGGCTACTAATGTGATACATGTTTAGCCTGAGAATCTCACAGCTGTCCCAAGAGCTTCAGGCTACAGTTTTCTGGGGCTGGGGGGGACCCCTTGCTATAGAATCAGACCTACAAAATAAAAACAACTGAGGGAGCCTAACTGGGCATAAAATTAAATAATAAAAGCATAGTGACTCTCTAACTTTGTTTGTTCCAAGATATTTTCTGCAGCTCTGAGCATGGAATTTCTTCCGACATGGATTTTGCAACCCACCATGGTGCTGCACAGCCGCTTGGCCAGCTCCAGCACTGAACGTGTGTGCTCGGATGTGGACCCAGTCTGGGAACTCTGGGGCCAGTGACTCCTACACTAAAGGTTGGATCTAGTTGGAAACACTTCTTCCTACATGCAGCATGGTTCCCCTGCTCCCCATACTCACTCCCTGACCAAAGGACTGACTGTCCCTCATTATCACTGTCTTATGATGGGAGCACGGCAGATCTGACCCTCTGTACTGGGGCTGCAGCTCACTGTGGGTGTTACGCTTACTCTAAAATCCTCAGCAGAGACTATGAAATGCAGCAAACCCAGTATTTACAGTAACACTGGATAAGTGAAAATGCCCAATGCAAGCAATAACGGCATTACATTGGCAGGCTGTTCCCCCATGGGACAGACATTTTCAGTAGAAGGTGGCTCTTTAATTACTGGAAAGTAACACCGACAGAAGTTGGCTAAATACACTCCTGCTCAAATCAAGCACACTTTTTTAGCAGGAAAGGTGGTTGATTTTGGAGACATCTCCCATAGGACAGGAGCATCTCCCTTCTCACAGCCACGATGCCAAGAACCCCCTAAATCACAAACCACAGCTCAAACAGAAATGATGGGCTTGATGAACTGGGAAAAGCTCTTTGGGGCCCACTGTGCAGGAACTCAACTTAGAAGCTCACATCGGTCCATTCCATCTTTAAAACCAATGCATGTGTTTTATCTTCTGCATAGAGAAAAAGGTAATGCAATAGTAGCTCTGTCCATCCAGTTACACTTCATGTGTTGCCACGCTGGTGTGTCGCTGCAGTCAAGTTTAGCAACTCCCAGAGCACTACAATCAGCCTTTCAGTTGCTTGCATGCTGGGTTGGTTTGTACACAGAAGTGTGAAGTGACATCTGCATCACTTCTAATTAGTCAGAGTACCATAATGGTTGCAGAGCAGACACTAATTATGTAGCTACAACAGGCACCCAATTAAAGTAGTATGAGGTCATGGTTGTTTTTTTTTTAGTATCAGCCGGACAATAAGGTACATCTCCGAACTATGTGCCACATGCTGAGCTCCCATCTCCCACAACACACAAACGGACTACCAGACACTGGGACAATAAATAGCTGTCCATGGAGCTCTCCAGACAAAAAAAAGAATCATTTAGTGAGAGATAATATAGCATCACAGAAAGCTATTTCTGGGAAAACATGCTAACCTGCTCCTCTTTATTACTGACATTTTGATTGTGAAGTGATGTAAAGTGTACTTCAAAGTGCTCTAATTTTGCTTAGTGCTTGAGTTACAAGAATGAAATGATATAAAATGTTTTTTTTTTAAAAATTGTGTTAGAAAATACTAAAGAGCTTCCACTGTTGAAGTACATAAAATCTGCAAAAAACAGGAGGGAAATCTCATTCTCCCCATACCCCCACAGAAAGCTCCATGGGGTTTCCTACAGAATTTCATTCACTTTAGTTAACAGAATAATTCCAGTGATTACTGACAATGGAAGTAAAAGCCATACCTCCATTAATCATTACTGTGAGCACAGGAATGCTAAAAATCATGGAATATTTATGTGAAGGACAGACAGAGCCAGGTGCATCCAGCTTGAAGGGGTTGATGACCATCAAGAAATCTGAGCAACTACACAAGCTATTTCATAACATACAAAAGAGCACTAGGAAGGACCATGGGAATCTTCTCAACCACCCTCCTGTCTCAACCACAGTTATGATCCTTGACAAATGCTCCACCTAAACTGGTGCCTTCTAGATCTGTGATTGTTCTTGGCTACTCTGGACTCTCCACTGTTGTGAACTGCCTTCTTGCCCCAAACTGGAGAACATTCCAGGTTAGTCCTTCCCATTCCTGAGTAGAGCAATGGTCTACTTCACAATTCTTACAGGCAACACTCCTTCTCATACACCTTAGCACCACGTTCAGCTTTAGACAATGTCATGGTTGTATTGACTCACATTCAAGTACAACTGTTGCCTATGAGGGAAAATCATCAAACCAAGTAGTTAATACAACGCTGCAACTCCCACTGAGAAATGAAGCCCATGGAGGAGGAAGGGTTTGTGGATGTGCTAAACTTCCCTCCCTAGTGTGATCTTCAGGAGAGGGTTAACTGTGTCAGTTGAAGGAGGTTGCCACCATGATTAATATGTGATCTGGTGATGACAAAGTACCTTTTGTAAGAAAAAAGGCAACCATCTATTCCCACTTAGCCCAGGCCCCTGTGATAGGAATCACGAGAAGACTGGCTGTCGTGCTCGCTTTTCAAATGTAGACGCGTGTCCAACAGCAACTAACAGGAGATTATCAGCCAAACACCAAACACCACCATTCCACCACCCCAACCTGGGTTTGACATACCAGATGTCCAGACATGTCAGTAGTTCATTATGATGTCCCTGAGCCAGCTCAAGTTTGTTGGAGTTTTCTTTTGCTTTTTTTGAGAAAAGACAGTTCTATATTGGGAGTGTAATACCAGAAGAAGTGAGAATGACTAACTACAGCTCCCCATTTCTAGAAGAAAAAGAAACACACGTCCACTCTGATTTCAGTTATATTTTCTTATTAATAGTTAGTTCATTAGTCAAGTTCCAGATTAAACAGATATTAAGTGGAACTGTGATCTCCTGTTCTTCAGAGGTGGGGAGCAGCATTGACAAAGCCTTTAGTTTACAGCCCTCCTTTCTCTGGTACCATGCACTTCTCTTGCTTGCACCGTGGCCTCAGCATGCCCATCCACCTAATGCCACACTGAAATCACTGGGTGAAAGAAATCAGATGAAGATTTCAGAAGTTAAAGGCACTTACTAGGTGTTAGCTGCAACCAGGAGATCTGCATTGTCAAAAAGGTTGACCCCTGGCACTTCCACAATGAGAACATATATAAATTCAATGATTAACATAAGGATCAGTTTTCCAATACAGCTGATCTGAAGGAACACAGAGCAGGCCAGGAGACTCAATAAGACACTGTAGGTAAAGTACTGTATAAAGACAAAAAGGGAAAAAAAAAACAGCAGAGAGATGAATGTCAGCTGGATAAATCAAAACTGAAAACAAAGGAAACTACACAAAGGGATAAAAGGGATTGGGAGTCATGTGGTTGAGCTGAACAAACATGTAAACCTGGGGCTGCCTGTGGGATCCTCCCATGTCACAGAGATCTAAGTGTTAAAAGTGAACTGATGGGAGAGGAAATTTCACATTTTTCATTAGGCATTATTTGCTTTACACTCAAGAGGCACAGGGCTCGCAGCTGGAGAGCCAAGGTTGTGGTGTAGGTTCACCCTGGACATGGTTACTTCATTAGCAGAAAGCATCATCCAGTTGTGCTGGAATACTTTGTGCTGTAAGGTAAAATTCTGGTCTTGAATTTACATATCTGCACAATACACAGGACCAAGGGTATTAGCAATTCATACCACCAGCACTTAGAGATATCCACTTGAGGCCAACTGGGAAGTATTGCTCCTGCTGATGTGATACACTGAATCCACTGGCAAAATATAGGCTGGACACGCTTCTCCCAGTGCTCAACACCATGATATTTTTTTTTGCCAGCAGTTGCAGAAGAAGAGCACGCACGCGTGGTAGTGGAGCCCTGTGGTAGTGGAGCCCTCTGCCACACCTGGGTGCTGGCCCAGCCTCCATGACATTGCTACTCCAGGGTAACCAAGGTACGAACTTCTGCCAAGCTGAGGGTTGAAAGTTTAGCTTGCCAGTGCTTTCAGATGTGATTGCAGAATGTAGGTGCCATTTATGGCTCCTGGGAAAGCTAGCATGGATGTATAACAAAGAGAGTTATGTTATTCAGCTCATCACTCTCCTGCCATCAAATTTGTGAAGCTTGAAGTTTCCACTCTGTGCAGACAGGCCTATATCTAGCAGAAAAACTGTATCAGATGTCTGAGGCAATTCATCCTTTTGGTTAAAAGCAAGTCTTAGTTGAAGCAGAAATACACTCATGTTCTGAGCTCATTTATTAATAGTTCACCATTGATATATTAAATTTGAGAAAATAACTTGTACAGCTTGTTACTTGACTCTTCAGTACTAGAAAATGGGTGGATGTTCCCTGTGGCTAACAGGTAGGATCCCACCATCTCCTGAAAGCCCACGGAGAGCAACAGACAACACCTGTACCAGATCAAACATCTGCCCTGCAGAGTGCAGGGGAGGGACTCCTCACTTCTTAGCCCACTAACCAGCAGAACCTGACTCAACACTGCCATAGGATACTCAACATGTAAAATGGTTGTGCCTCATTGCTTAAAATCCCTCTCTGTCCTGAACTCCTGAGAACCTCATGATAGGCACAGACTATTTCTAGTCCTCCACTGTGCCACATTTTGCTCCTGGGTCTTCCTATGGACATACTGAGAGCCTTTGCAAAGTTGAAAGTCACAGCAATGGTGGTCTCAGAAACCTCACTGGATCAGATAGGGACCATATTCCTGTTAGCTTAAATGGAAACAGGTTCAGTTGGATACCAGGGCTTTCAGTAACACTTTGGACATCTGGATGATAACAGATCAGCCATAAATCTGCCAGGTCCCCATAAACCCAGAAGATCTTAACATAAATTTTACCTCCATCCTAGCCAGATTTTTTTCCTTTTCAGTTCCAGTAATGAACACACACAATTGCTGAAAGCTACAAATTCACAGAAAGGTCTTGAATAGCTATGCAAAAATATGATTTTGTTGGCAAAGTATTCTACCAGTGTGTAAAGTGTTTCTTCCCCATTAAAACGCTTTTTTTTAAAAAAGTTGTTCTGAAAAGGTAGGATTTGCATATACAAATTATATAGACCACTATCAGGACTGCTAACCTATCTGAGGCCAGAACCTACTATACCTAGTGAAAGAATAGATAGGCAAAGTTTTTCATCTGGACATAAAACAATGGAGAGAAGGGTTAAATCTGTGACTAGACACTGATTTTCACAGTGAACTGATTTTCAAGTTACACTGAGCATCCACAGACTCTTCTGAAATGACTTGCAGTTCTGCATGCTGTTATGGGCTTAATGAAGAAAGGCCATTTCTCCTGCTACAGGCAGGATCCAACAATTATAAAAGGCTACTGATTATTCAGCCCTGAGGGAACTTAAACATTGATGTGCACTCACGATAATAACGTGAGACACTTAAGTCTGTGCGTAGTAGCCTGTGTCAGACCTATAACGTCAGCCAGAAGCAACCTTGCTTTCCTATGAATCACTGAGATTTATCACATGAGTTTTACAGCCCCTTCTCAGATCAAGTTCTACAACCCATTTTTTTCAAGCGATACCTCTGGAAAGTTGCAGTTGGGCAAAGGACTGTCACAGAATCCCTGCAGGGTGCCCAGGCTGTAGCTGGAAGTCATGTTGCTGATAAGGCATGTGTCCACCTGGTCAGGAGTGATGTTGTATTCTGCAGCCATGCAGCTGGTGAGATTCACAGTGCTGCACGTGAACTGAAGAAAAAGATGGTATTAAACTCAAAGGCATACACAAGGAGAAACCAAATAGTTTCTATTGATTAAAAAGCCCCTCCAAAATGGATATAGCAAGGGATTAAGCAATGTGCAGAATGAAATCACCAGCTTATAGAATCATAGAACCATAGAATGTGTTGGGTGGAAGGGACCTTTAAAGGTCATCTGGTCCAATCTCCCTGCAGCGAGCAGGGACACCTTTAACTCGATCAGGTTGCTCAGAGCCCCA